AGTTTTGCCATCGGCTTTTAGTCCCTTGTAACTACCGCAAATGGACAAGGAAGGAATGAGTGGGAGAGAGAAAACAAAACGCTACGCCAGAGTCAGAAAGTTCTATCTACTCATTACTTAGTTTAAAAAATTTTGACGAAAAATATGTTGTTTCACAACATGTCAAGCTGTTTCGAATGCGATTGTGAAGCGCATAAAGCTTGCTGTTGAGCGGGGATTTGCGCTATACAAATGCTATCTATTATTATTATTATATCTTAATAATAAAATAACGACTCCGAATAATGTTATGATTTTGATAGAGCAGATAGAACATTTGGTTTCTGGCCTCATGGCTTTGGTTACTCAAACCAGCCAAAACTGTCAGAAAAGAACTCTGTAACTTTAAGGTAGCGGAAAAAGAAGACGGAGAGGCAAATAAACAGATGGGCAAAGAGACAAGCGGAGAGTGACTCGATCAGAGCATGGTAGACCCAAAAGAAAAATGTTTGCGATACGGGCATGGAATCTTTGTATTTGCTTTCTCTCTCTCTCTCTCTCTCTCTCTCTCTCTCCCCTCTCTCTCTCTCCCCTCCTCTCTCTCCCCCCCTCCCATCCCACTTGTCTTTCATAACATTACCATAAAGAATAATCAGCTTTAGAAAAAATTTAAACGAAACAAAAATCTTCGCACGTTCAGATATATAGCCGTCTGTCACGCACCGTTCACGCAATACAGCACTATTAACACAATTCTTGTGTTTCTGGAATTATTTCGACACACAGGGCCATCAACTTTTTTTAATAGAAAGTGTCCAATTTATTTTTGATTATTCGGGTTAATAAAACATTCATCCTTTGTCTACCCAGTGGAACTTGACCTCTCCGGTAATGTGTCCCGTGGGTAATAATACATTGGATATTCACGTACACAGGGAATAAAGAGAGTGAAGGAATCTATTTACCAAGATATCTCCAGTTTATTTATCATTCATCAATCACCACCGACCAACCGTGAAACGACAGCAGCTTTTCTCAGAGTTCAACGGCTACCATCCAGGTCAAAATGGCCGACACTGACCAACGCAACCGTATCGTATTCCTGGGCTCCGGTCGGGTGGGGAAGACCGCCATACTGAAACGGTTTCTGTTCAACACATACTCCGAGGAGTACAAGGAGACGGTGGAAGACCTCTTCGCCCGAGATTACAACATCCGTGGATCTTTAATCAAAGTGGATTTTCTTGACACTGCTGGGAATTTCGTGTTCCCCGCCATGAAGCGCCTGTCTATCACCACTGCTCACGCCTTTGTGTTAGTCTACTCCATAACGAGCGTGGAGACGTTTGAGGAGGTGAAGCGACTCTGGGCGGAGATACAGGAGGCCAGGTCTAATTACCAGGTCAGTGAATGAATGGTGGTGAAGGGGTTAAAGGGGGGGGGGGCAGAGGGTGGACGACGAATGGTGTTGGAAAATTAAGGGATGGGGGAGAGGGACGGTTGTAGCTGGTTACTGATTAGATAATTGTTATTGTAATATTTATAATCATCATCCTTATAATTAACAGCAGCACTATCAACATCATCATTTCATCACCATCATTATCATCATTCTCATTATTCTCTCTTTTATCGTTATCATCATCATCATCATCATCATCATCATCATCATCATCATCATCATCATCATTAGGAGCAGCAGCCACCCTGTTATCATCTCTAATGTTACCTCAAAAACCTGGCGACCCCCAACTCTTTCAGTCACAAATATTATCTGAACTTCCATTCAAGAAAGACGGGTATTTTTCTTATCGAAAACCAGTTGAATGAATAAGTTTTAAGATGATACCAATAGCAACAAATGCCCCCAAACTGACGAAAGCCTGATTATATCGTGTTGTGACACACCCCCACTCCCCAGAAATAAACAAGTGGCTTAATAAAGTATACCCAGCTCTCGAAAATGTTACACCACCGATACAATGTCCCTGAAGAAAGACTGTGACAAACGACAACCCCCCCCCCCCCCCCCCGAGAGTCGAACTCGGGCCACCTGCGTCCTACAGCGAAGCGCTATACCAAATACCGGTTTAATGATCTGTAGTGCCAGATTCAAACATTATTTCGCTACACCACAGACACCGGTAAGAATATAGTTTTTAACCTAGTGAAAATGCATTGGAACGAAAATAAACTTTAGTTTTAGTGTTGTATTGCTTGTCCTGTCTTAATGAATCTGTAACTGCAAACATGTTTTAAGAAACAGAAAAACATGAGATGAAAAGATGTCTGAACTCGAAATGTCATAAATTCTGATTAAGGGATTTTATAAATTATATTAGTTTTCCTTCTCAGAAAAGCCATGCTAAATATGGCTTTAAAAAGTAGAGGGCAAAGAAAACAGGAAGAACAATCTAATATTAGCCACGAGTACTCGATACCGATCTATGTTAAATAACAAGTACGATCCCACAGCATGCTCCAAGACTTCTACATGAAAAATTCAGAGCCAATCCCGCGGTCCCTGTTCATTGCCCATATCCTCCGCGACAGCGTTTAAGGGAAGATCTCCCTTGATGTAAATATTTGAACATGCGAGAATTGTTTTTCTCGACCTTGAGGCGTTGCATTAGGTTTATTTTTTTCTTGTTTTTCCCTTAGCAAGAATAATGTATCTAAGGCAATTTGTTCAGAAGTGCTCAGCCCAGTTTAGAAAATTGTTTTGTTTTTGTTTTTGTCTCAGTTTCTTGATATGGGTTATCGTTTGCATGTGCTTGAGAAATATACTCTACTCCATTAAAACGCCTCCATTAAATGTACTTGGAATGGAAACTGTGACAAAGTTAATACATACGTTTACACGAAGGTGTGACGGTATATTACTAACATAAATTAAACCAAAGAGGTCGTCTATTTCGGGTTTGTGTGTTTGTTTTGTGCAGTGTTCAATATAATATCCCATCCAAAAAAATTACAGTAACGATTGTGGCCCTCGTGGGTTGAAAAGGTAGCGAAAGTTCGACACTGCATAGACAGAGTAAGACTAGGAATGTTTCTCTTTGATATGCTAGTCCATTCTTTTGTTGATGTACACCTCTCCTTGTATCATTATGACTAACGCGGAATTAATTAGACTCGTGAGGAAAAGTAGGCTGGCGTGTGCTCTGGTGTTGTTTGCTTCTTCTTTCCTATCAAACATCTATCGTCCTAATCTCCTCTTCTTCTTTTTATGTTTGTTACTCTCTTGTAACACCTGTAATCTTCTTGCGCTCATATGACCGTATGCAGTTGCGAGCACCGTAAAACCTGTATTTAAAAAAACAACTAGCCAGGAAACATTCTCCGTCCCAGTCTCTGAGCGTTCACTTTGAGCTTTGGCTGCACCAGTCCACAAGAGCTTGTCGGTATGCAGCAGTAAGCACAGGATGTTCGTTGGGTCTGTGGTTTCTTAAACCTGTTTTTGTCAATAGGCGCCGATGGTGACGGCACTTACTGATCCTCTAGTTCCCTGAAGGTCTCTGGCAGGACGAAAACGATCTCTCTCTCTCTCTCTCTCTCTCTCTCTCTCTCTCTCTCTCTCTGTCGATTTTGTTGCGCGATTAACCATTGGTTGCCCCGCTCTTGGTTAGTCGGTGACACTTCCTGTTGTCTGGAAACTTTCTTGCAGTCTTCTGGTTGTCCGTTGTTCAGCATTGAACCGTGGCGCAGCACACCTTTGACTTACACAGGCGATGATAATCCCAATGACACAGTATCGCTCCTCAGGCAAGACCTCCGAATTCAACGTCCATCTCCGATACGACGAAGCCAAATTGGTAAACTGGTTTGAAAAGCGCTACACACCAAATCTCGGCATCCCCGGAAAACCTAGTTTACTCTGTATAATCTTATTGCAGTTTATTTTTAGTAAGTGTTTTATGGCACTTGCAACACAAATAGGTCATATTATTATACATGCCCAAGAATATACGTGTTACTAGATAAAAGTATGCAAAGAAAAGAAGTGTATAAGATAAGGACAATAGATGATTGATGAAAAAGTAGGAGCAAGCCACTTAAAAGCATCCACCGTCTTTTGATAAAAATTGTTATGAGAATAATATTGCTTTCCTAAAAATACACTGTAAACGCCCAGGTTAAATTGGCGTTTCGTTCAAACTTTTAACTTCATAGAATAAGTTTTCTACTCATTTTCACTTGATTTTGAAATAAATTTTTGCAGTGTGGTTTTTTTCCCTGGAGCTCTTCTAGTACTCAGATGACATAGATAAACCAGACAGCCATCCGGTGTTTGTCGAAAACATGATATATCGTCTGATGATCATGGTTTCAAGAAACCCTGCAGTTTTGATTTTTAAATTTCCTTTTTGGGATAATAATTCCCCCTGTTGCAGGTCAGACAGTGTATTATCGTTGCCAAGCGTTTAAAAGAGAACACAAAACAAATCAAATGTACTTTCTTTATTACCCAACCAAATACAAAACCCTAGATGCATAATTTACAAAGCCCACTGAAAAGGTCCTTCTTTATTGCGCTTATTAGGGTGGTCGCTCGTTACAGAAGTCTTTCCGTTTGAAATATTCTTCGCCCAGGAAACAACATTATGAATTCAGGAGATAGAAAAACCGTTTTCATTTTTTAAGTCAAAATAGGGTACTTACTTTGTGTATTCTTACTTGCTCAGTTCTACGTCTAGAGTTTCAATCTCGACAGAATATTTCTTGAAAACTTCATGAAACCGATGTCACAGATTGAGAAACTGCTACACATATACGTAAAATGATTTTTTAAAATAAAATAGATAATATAACATTTTGAGCTCTGTACATTTTCATAGTTGGCCCACGATGTCAACTTCCCCAACACATACAATCACTCCTTACCCTCTAGGATGTTGACGACATGGAGTCAATGGGAATAATGCCTTCGGGGCGTTCTTTTAGAGGCGACAATAGGTTGCAAGACTGAGAAGAGAGATGTTGAAATAATATTATGCTTAATAAGAGAAATAGAATATACCTTTTTTACAACTAAATACACAGCATATTATTGTCTTGCCAGTGGAGAGCTGCTGTTTATGATTTCAGGAACGTTCGAATTGTTTATAACTCTCTTAGATGCTAATTATTTCTCTCTATTTCTCTCCTTCCCTCCCCCTCTCTGTTTCTCTCTCCCTCTTTGTCTCTCTCTCTCTCTCTCTCTCTCTCTCTCTCTCTCTCTCTCTCTCTCTCTTCCTTTCTCTCTCCCTCTTTGTCTCTCTCTCTTCCTTTCTCTATCTCTCTCTCTCTCTCCCTCTCTCTCTCTCTCTCTCTCTCTCTCTCTCTCTCTCTCTCTCTCTCTCTCTCTCTCTCTCTCTCCCTCTCTTTTCTATCGCTGTTTCCAATAAGCACCCGTGCATAGCTTAATGATTCCTTTTTGTTCCCTTCTCCCAGTCTCAGATGTCAGTCTTTTTCTATTTCTCCCATCACTATAATGTCACAAGAAGGAAAAGGTAACCGAAAATATTTATATTTTAAAAAAGCGTTCTTTCGTCAATATTTCTGTAGCTTATTAAAAAAGTATTATAACTAAGAGAAGATGAATCTATCTCTATTTCTCTATCACTTTCTCCCCACCTCTGGCCCCCATTTTTGTTTTCCTGTCCTTCTCATTCTCCTTTTTTTTCTCCATTTCTCTCTTTCTGTCCGTCAGCCTATCAGCCTTTCTGTCTGCCTATCAGCCTGTCTGTCTGGCTATGTCTGTTTCTCTCTGTCTTTGTCATTGTTTGTGTGTCTGTAATAAGAGATACAAAAACGCATACATATACATGTTTAGCACATGCATTAAGACACACACACACACACACACACACACACACACACACACACCCACACACACACACACACACACACGCACACACACACAAACACCCACGCACACACAAAACATACACGCACACAAATAAACTCATTTTTACTGGAACTGACTGTAAATACATCTCAACTCAGACACAATTTTTTCAAAAGAAATACAAGCGCATTCAATTTTTTTTCTTCTAAAAACAAGCTTATTCTTAATGTTACGCGAAGCCTAAGTTACTTTCGCGATGAGACCACCAGAAATTAAATCACCTCTATGATCTTACAGGCCATGTTAGCTCTAGTTACAGGTGTCGTAAGATAATCTTCCTCGACGTGGGCTATTTGATCTTGATGCCCTTTGCTGCCAGACTTTGAAGTCCGGCTTCCAATTTCCTTTTCAATTTCACGCACTGCGTATATCCAGGAAGACTGCAAAATGAAGGGCGTTTGCAGCGTCGGGTCTCTTAAAATTTTTAGTAGTAATTGCAACCTTCTGGCGCCCGTGCTTGGAAGACGACGGTTGTAGGATCTGTATTATTATTATTGTCCCTGTGTTGTTCA